TGAAAACAGCTGAAAAGTGTAAGTGAGAAATTAAGAGAAAATCTATTTATGAAATCTAATACTACAGAAATTTGTCAAGAAAAGTCAAATAATGCATCACCAAGTTCTCTTTGCATTGTAATCTGAGTAATACTGTATGATTTTTCTGGGTTTTTGTTGTTTATTTGTTTGTTTTTGAGTCAGGTTCTCACTATGTAGCCCTGGTTGACTTTGAACTGGATATGTAGACCAGGCTGGCCTTATGTCACAGAGATATGTCTGTCTCTGCCTTCCACATACTGGGATTAAAGGTGTGTGCTACCACACCTGTCTGGCTTTCTGTTTTAACTAATATGAGCAGCCTCTGTCAGGATCAGCTATTTGAAGTACTAGGGATAGTTTATTACAGGTTTATATTAGGGTTATGTTTGCAGTTGGCAGGAGTCACCACCAGATGGTGACATTTTTTAAACTTAATCAGGTTTTAATCTCTGGATGTATCAGTTATAAACAAAAGATAAAGTATGCAAAATGTAGTTTTTGTTAATAATTAGAATTACATAACTATCTTACAAGGATACACTATCTGAATATAATACAAAATACCAAAGTAGTTCCTGTGTCAGAAGGAGAGTTTTCTGATTAGAATCACTTTAAAGAGTAAGTGAACTTGAGTGGGCATGTGCAGTTGAAACTTCCTCTCCCTTTACAAGAATTTGGAGGACACACTCATGCTTATGCATGGCCCCAGCAGGGTTTTTCTCATTGATTAACTACAGATGCCCCAGAGTTCTACATGTTACAAACTTTTAACATAATGCTCATTAGCCTTTCAAATTACATGTGAGGTAAATAATCTCAGTTCTACTTTAACACAGCAGACTTTTAAAGAATAGCCATTCTAGGGGCTGGAGAGACAGCTCGGCAGTTAAGAGCATTGACAGCTCTTGCAGAAGACCCAGGTTCAATTCCCAGCACCCATATGGTGGCCCAGAACCGTCTGTAACTCCAGTTCCAGGAGAATCTGATATCCTTTTTCTGACCTCAGTGGACACTGCATGACAAGGGTATACTCACATACATGCAGGCAATACACTCACACACATTAAAAAATAATAAAATTTATTTTTGAAAAAGAATATCTATTGTCTATAGCTCAAGAACCAAGAGTAATTAAGTGGAAAGATTTTATTTTTAAAATTTTTCAATTCTGCTAGCCTAGGCTTAGGTTTAGCCAAAAGAAAATGGAAGACAAGCAGAAAAATTGGTATTATTGTCTTCTAATGCAATTCTGTGCTTTTTAAGACTTGATTTCCATCCTCTTGTTAAAAGTACCGTGCAGTTAAAAATGATTTGCTTGCACTAAAATCTTTACTGTGTTCTTCAATGTTATTAAGGTCCTTTTTCTAATTTTCTTACTGCCATTAGGTTTAGCCAAAAGAAAATGGAAGACAAGCAGAAAAATTGGTATTATTGTCTTCTAATGCAATTCTGTGCTTTTTAAGACTTGATTTCCATCCTCTTGTTAAAAGTACCGTGCAGTTAAAAATGATTTGCTTGCACTAAAATCTTTACTGTGTTCTTCAATGTTATTAAGGTCCTTTTTCTAATTTTCTTACTGCCAGAAATTGCATTTTAAACCACAGCCCTAGCACCTTTCTCCTTCAGAAAATGACACATCTAGATTTGTCAAAAAATTGTCTTTTATGGATGAACTTGCACCAAAGGACCTCTGAGTAAAATGCACAAAATGCTTGACTGAATGGAAAAAGAGTACATGAGGCCAGGAGCGGGCAGGGGGGTGGGGGAGGTCTAAATTTGATTAAGAACTGTTGTATGAAATGTACAAAAGGCTCAAAAAATTGTCTTTTATGAAGCATTATTAGAATTTCAATTCAATTTCTCTTTTCTGAAGACTTTTTTTTTCTTTTGAGACAGACTCTCATGTGTCCCAGGTAGACCTCAAATTCTCTGTGAAGCTGAGGATGACCTTGAACTCCTGATCCTCCTGCCTCCACTTCCCAAGTGCTCAGATTACAGGGGTGCACCACTATGCACTGTGTACACAGTGATGGGGATCAAACCTACGGCTTCCTGCATGCTAGGCAAGAGTGCACTAACTGAGCTACATCCTCACCTCTTTCTTATGAAGACACTCAATGTTAATACTTAGACATATTTACCCACTTGTCATTGTATTCAATGGCTGCTAATTTTGGTGATACAAGTCTTTTAATATATATTTGTAATGAAAATATCTTTGTGTTGAATATATGGTATACATTATTTGAGATTTGTTTTTATAAAGTTCATTAGTTACATATTATCTTCCAAAATTTGGATAATGAGATACTGAGTAGCTGTGAGAGATAAAGTTCATTGAGATCTGTTTTTTTGAGAATTTTTTTCCTTTCTTCCTCTTTTTAAAAACCTTTAAAATTTTATTTTTATTTTACGTGTATGAGTGTTTTGCCTGCATGTATGTGAGTCCACCCATGTTGTGCAATGCCTGTGGAGGCAAGAGGGCATGGGATCCCCTGGAACTGGAGTTACAATGGCTATTAGCCACCATGTGAGGTGTTGGGAACCAAACCCAGGTCCTCTGCAAAAGCAGCCAGTACTCTTGACTGCTGAGCCATCTCTCCAGCCCCCTTTTCTTCCTCTTTTTAAGGCAAGGTCTTATTCTGAAGCCTAGGTTGGCCTGAAATACACTGTGGAGCTGAGGGTGGCCTTAGACCCACATCACTCCTCCTATGTCAGTGTCCCAAGTGCCAGAGTTAAAGGCATGAGCCACCACATCTAACTTTGATGGACTGACTGCAAGTACTTCTTTTGAAAATGACTTTTTGGGGCTGGAGAGATGGCTCAGTGGTTAAGAACACTGGTTGTTCTTGCAGAAGACCAAAGTTCAAATTCCAGCACCCACATGGTAGCTAACAACTGTCTGTAACTCCAGTTCCAGGCAGGGGATCTGATGGCCTCTTCTGTCTTCTGTGGGCATTGCAAACACGGGTGCACTCACATATGTGCAGGCAATACACTCATACACATAAAATAAAAATAACAAATAAAATATTTTTTAAAATATTAAAAAAAGAAAAGAAAATGACTTTTCTTGTTGCCAAAACACTCTGAAGATGAAACACTATAAAAGCACATGTGAAGAATTTTAGAGTTTTGATTCAAGATAATGAAGTAGAAACCAAAACGAACTATTCTAAAAAATAATATTCAATCTGTAACTAATTAAATAAGATATGCGAGCATGGTGGCGTATGCAAAGTCTAAAACCACATCAAACATCAATAACTTTGGTAAATGAATATTTAACATGGTTATAGAAAGATTAGAATGAAGTAACTTGAAAAACACCAGAAGTTTTGAAATATACATTAACAATATTCTGACGAGGTGATTTAAAAATTAATCTTGATATGTATCCTTTGCAATCATTTAGCAAAATGCATGTTGAATTGTTTCTTTGAGATAATACTTGTCCATGTGGAAGAAATATAAAAGCACTTAATCTCAAAACAGTACCTGTTTGCGGATTCTTGTTTGCCTTTTGTTGGTGGTAGTGGTTTTTGTTTTGTTTTGTTTTCTTTGAAACAGAGTCTCCCTATAGCCCCAACTGGCCTGGAACTCACTATGTACAGCAGGTTGCTCTTGAGCTCACAGAGATCTTCAAAACAGTACTTGAAGTAAGTTTTCTGTCCTTCAAGGGTGACAAAGCAGGTCTGCCCTATCTTTGGTAAGGGAGTATACTTTTCCTTAGAGGATTTGCCTCTGCTTTATCCGGAAGCTGGTTACCCTAGTTTGGTATGCCTCTCAGGATTTAATTTGACAGGATTTCCTCACAGCTTCCATTCAAAGAAATGAAACATTCAGGACAATGATATAGTTACGGCCTGGACCCTAAAGGTTAACGTGAGGGAGTCTTGGTCCCAGAGAAGGTGCTCTTGGGAGGAGTTAGTACTTGGAGTTTTTCAGGCAGTTGGGGACATGGCTTAGGAGGGAATTGTGGGACACCCTAAGCCATTTCTTTTTCTCTTTTTCTCTCATGAGGCCAGTGATTTTGCTCTGCCTGTGGTCTGTCTGTGGTGTGTTGCCTTGTTACAGCCCCAGAAGTCATGGGGCTGACAGTAATTTCAGAGCCTCTGAAATTGTGAGCCTGTTTCTCAGGTATTTCTTGCAGTGAGAGAAACTAACAGTAAACCTTTTGGGGGGATGTTTAAGTTAAAGATTTCTTCTAATTCCACTTGCAACATACAGCATATTTGTTTAAGAGCCATCCTGACATCTTCACATCTTGAAAGGAGGAAAAAACACCACTGATATATTTAAGAGAGAAAAACAGGACCACCCTTTAAACTACTTGTATTTTACAGAAATATAGGAACTAACCATAGACTAAGGATATACATAGTTCCAGGTTAGAAGCCAATTTGACATTTTTACATAATAACACACTTCCTAGACACTACTGAAAGACTAAAGCAGTAACTGGAATAAGCTTGTTTGGCCAGCCAGGTCATGGGGAAGCTTCTTCAAACACAAGTCGGAGATTTGATAAATTTCTTCCATTTCGGAATGTCTCTTGTCGCACTTGCCATGAAAGGCAGCAGAAACTCATGCACTAGAGCTGTGCGTTCATTTGGCAAACAGGCAAAAATATTAGCAAACTAGCCAAGAGTACAGATTCAGGAAAGAAATTTTGTTTTTATAGAAACAAGACACAAAAATCCTTCAATTGCCACAGTGTAAGATCTTTAAGTAGCACATGAAATGCACTTGGTATATGCACTACTGTAGTTTACCCTAAAAATAATCACCTAGGAAACCAATAAAGCTAATGTAAGCCTACAAATGGAAGGAAATTGGCAATCAGTCTCAGAAACATGGTGTGTGTTCTGCGCTTTGAAGCTGCAGAGCCCTTTGGGCCTCGGTTAAATGCCCCGCTCCCTAAGTGCCCCACTCCCTAAATGCCCTGCTCCCTAAATGCCCCGCTCCCTAAATGCCCTGCTCCCTAATCACCCTTGCTTTCCTCTTCTCTTTTCCTGTAGGCTTTATTTAGCAACTGGATCTCTTCCTGGTACCCGTCCCTCTCTTGATGCTGCCTCTTACTGTTCTGTCTGTGTGCTTCCACAGTGTCTGGGATGGAGATGTTGATATCGCCATCAGGATTACTTGTAGGTAAAAAAATGGAGTATGAGGCAGTTTCTCCTAAATCACAGGAGACGAATCTGTTTTCCTTCCTTGAGTAACGCAGTGAGGGGGACCTGACTTGCGTAGACGACTGGCTGATGTTGCTAATGATGGACACAGTATCCAAAGCCTCATCGTTGTCACAAATTTCAAGAACTTCCAAGTGGATTTTCACACTGGTGTCTGTGAAAGTGGAGGGAGAATCCTCTGAGTTCGGTTCATGGCCAACACTTTTAGATCGATAGACTTCTATTTTCTTCGAGGCTGGGCTTATCTTTTGCCCTTCTGCGCTGACTTCATAAGTAGAAAGAGACAAGGTTTTTCCTGTAGGTGCTTGTAGAGACACGGTCCCCTGGAAAGCACACAAGGGAATGGCCAGTCCACCACCGGAACGCTGGAGACAAAAGCAAAATGGTAGGTTACTGAAATCTAGTCGCGGAACACTTAGAAATTAATTTTATGCGCCAGAATGGTAAATGCTCTATTTCAGATCCTTTTCCGTGGAAACTATTTACAGATTTAAATTCTGTTACCAGAGCTGACTTTCTCCTAGGTCAGTACACCTAAATGAGGGCAGCCAAGAATCACTCTTCGTAGGTAAGAGAGATTTTCACACTTAAATGCAAAATTAGTGAACTGATGGGAAACAGTATAGATAGATGTTTCCAAGGCCAGAATTTGGGCATAAAATGAAATGCATATTTACAATAGGAATTGTTTTTAGATGTCTGCTGCAGATTTAGTTCCATTAAAAGCATGCCTAGGTTGTAGGAAAAGTACACTGATATGAATATACAGTGTTTTTCCCATTACTGTGTCAGAGAACATAATTCATAAAACGATGACTCAAATTAAGTACAAAGGATCCTTCAACAGTCAGGTTCCTAAAAGGAGTCAAATGTCACCAGAACTGGTGTACGAAGTGCACCTACATTTCCATCGAGAAATTAAGGTAAACCCAATCAAAGAGAACTCCTTCACATCTCTGCAAGTCTTCCCAAAAGTGTAACCCTGTTTCTATTAATCACCTTGAGAGGTGCTTAAGCAATGAAGGAGAAAATAAAACTGAGGCTTATAAAAGCCTGTGATCTAGATTGCTCTTCCACACCTTCACACTTTCAACGGTTGCCCTTTCTGCTTACATGTTAATGTTACAGGGAGATGGTAAGATGCAAATATGTAGCAGTTCTCAAAGCTGGATCTCCACACCAGCACCACCTAGCAACTTGTCAGAATGCTGATTTTTAAGCTCTAGCCTTGACTTACCCAGTTGGAAACTCAGATTTAATAAGGCCAGTGATCAATCTGCTATGAGGTCAAGTTTCAAATGCATTGCTCTAACTAAAGAACATGTAGTCCAGAAAAAGAAGTGGACGGGCTGACTTGACGGACACTTTTTATGCAAAGAGTGGAGTTACTGGATGTGCCTATAAATGTCTTACCAATTCAAGATCACCAACCTTCCCAGTTTTCTTGAAGTCTACATCTTAGCATTGAAACTTACACATCCCAAGAAACCTAGGTTTTGTTGTGGGAGATGACACATGAGTATTTTGCATCTGGATGCAACAAGTGTAATTTATTCTTATTTTCTGTGTATGAGTGTTTGCTTGCATGTATGTATGTGCACCACATGAGAGCAGTGTCTGCAGAGCTCAGAAGAAGGTGTCAGATTCGCTGAAACTGGAGTTACAATTGGTTGTGAGTCACCATGTGGGTGCTCAGAACCAAACCTGTGTCCTCTTCAAGAATAGTAAGTGCTGGGGCTAGAGAGATGGCTCAGTGGTTAAGAACACTGGTTGTTCTTGCAGAAGACCCGGGTTTGAATCTCAGCATCCACACAGCAGCTAACAGCTGTCCGTAACTCCAGTTCCAGGGGATCCAACAGCCTCTAATTGGTTGTGAGTCACCATGTGGGTGCTCAGAACCAAACCTGTGTCCTCTTCAAGAATAGTAAGTGCTGGGGCTAGAGAGATGGCTCAGTGGTTAAGAACACTGGTTGTTCTTGCAGAAGACCCGGGTTTGAATCTCAGCATCCACACAGCAGCTAACAGCTGTCCGTAACTCCAGTTCCAGGGGATCCAACAGCCTCTTCTGACTTTAAATTAATCAATTATTCTTTGACAATTTCATACATGAATATAGTAAATTCTGGTTATTATCCTCTCAGCCTTATTTCCCTTCTACCTTAGTCAGTCCCCTTCACTCCTTACAAATCTCTTTCCCATATTCATGACCTTTCATTTTGTTTTATGTTCCATGGAGTTTAACTACAGTCATCTGTGTGACCATGGGTTTAGAACTATCCATCCAGTGGCTTCACAACTGAATACAATGGTGCTGCCTCTTCTAGAATCTGTTAGTTGCCCATAGTCCATTCAGTAAGTGATGGGCCCTGTGAACCCCTTCCACTGGGGTATTTTTATGCACCACTCTTTCCTTGAATTTCAGTACCATGAAAACTACAGCCTGGGATACGTGATTCATGTCTCAGTTATTTTCTGTGAAGAGATCTTGAACTCTGTTTATGCATATGGGGGCCTGGGACACTAACTGTAGAGCCCTGCACTCTAAAGAACCAGAAATCTTATACTGTAAAGTTCAGTTTAGCTATCTATGGAGGCAAAGAACTTCATCAACTACACACACAGAAAGAAGAGGGTCACCATTTGGGTTCACTACCTACTAGAACATTATTTGAAGAGTGGAAATTTTTGGCAGGTGGAAAAAAATCCATCCTTCTCAGTGACATCAATATTAACTCTATCATCCTTGGTACTAGACATCATAAGCCTTGGTTTTTGTTGACAAATTATCAATTAAAGGGTCATCCTAAAGTCTTCCCATCTACCTCCCCCTAAATGTTTTTCTTATCAAGGAGAGAAATTTCTGGTGGGTTTTTTTTAACAATAAAATTGATAAAGCATTATTTATTCAGAAAATCTGATTGTCAGGGCTGCAGAGATGGCTTAGTGGGTAAAGTGTTTGCCATGTAAGCATTATGAACTGAGTCTGGCTTCTCAGCACCTATATGAAAAAGTTAGGTGTGAAGGGTTATGTCTGTAAAGCCAGCATTGGGGAGAGAGATAGGAGGACCTCTGGGGCTTGCTGGTCACCAGTCTAGTCAAAATGGTGCATGACCTCCAGGTTTGAATGAGAGACCTTGCCTGAAACTGTAAAGGACAGTGACTGAATGCAGGCAATATACTCATACACATAAATAAAAATATATTTAAAACACACATACAAAATGTTAGGTTAATGAAAGTAATAGGGGCAAACAACTCAGAGAGAGAATATGAAGAAGATATGATCACATTTTTGTACAAGTAACCCCACACTGGCAAGTTAGTTCAACAAACAGCATTACTTAACACTTTAAACTATTTTAGTAATTTTACGGATGCTGGTTTGTAAATATTTAATGTACATATTCACTTGGATATAGAGTTACATAATAAGAGTATAAAGATCCCATATCTTTTAAAAGGTATTTTATTTATTATTTTTTTAATCAAATAGGTTCTCTGTAAGAGCACTCAGAGCTCTTAACCATTGAACCATTTCTCCAGTACCCAAGAGCCCATATCTTTAAGGAACCCGTATCTTTTTCTTTTTTAGATTGGTTCTTGCTTTGTAGTTCAGGCTTACCCTGAACTCATGATCTTCCTGCTTGACCTTTGTACAGCTGGGGTTACAGGTGTAAGCCATCACTTCCAGCGACCCATTTTTAGTTTTTGTACATCTTTAAGCAAAATAATAAAAATCTGGTATAACAATGACATTCATAGAATTATTTTTTGCCTTTAAACAGGACTTATGCTTTATTTAAGTTAGAGAAAATTGCTCTTGGCAAAGAAAATGAGAACTGGAACTAGAACTGTTACAGGGGACAAGACACAGGGGAGGAGGAGCTGACAGAATTGGAGTAGAGTTAGCAGAACCTTCCACTTCTGTTGGCAGAATGGAAGGAAGACTAAAAAGAAGCCTTGAGAAAACTGAGTCAGTATTATGACTCAGGACAGGGCATCTGGTAGGCCTGTAGCAGTTGAATGCAGATGTTCTCAGAGCCCACAGACTACAGAGATGTTCAAGTTTCTAAACAACTGCATATCCATGTGAACAATGCAATATCACATCCACACTGTACCATTATGAGAAAAAGTTACAAGCAAGGGAAAGGAAGACCCTAGAACATTCCTAAAGCAGGGCTCCATCTTCATATACAGGAAATACCTGACACCAATGCTTTTATCTAACATTGCTCTAGAGTGCCCAGCTGAGCAACAACCAAGAAAAAGAAACAAGAAATACAAACACTGAGTAGGAAGAGACAAGAATATAATTTATAGAAGAAAATGTTTTATACCTGGAAAATTCTAGAGAAGAAAAATCTAAAGAAGTAATTACAGAATTTAGTAAGGGCCCATTTAGGGCTCTGGAGAGATGACTCGGTGGTTAAGAGCACATACTGCTCTTGCAGAGGACCTGAGTTTGGTTCCCTGCACCCACAATGGGTGGCCGACAACCACCTGTAACTCCAGTTCCAGGAGATCTGATGCCCTCTTCTGGAATCCACAGACAACTGCACTCAGACATGCACAAACCAACATGCAGACATACATGACACACAAGTACATATAATTAAAATCTTGTACATGCTGTCAGAAGTGCTGTGGATTCATGTGTGTCACTATCCTGTCATGTCCAAACAACACAGTTTCCTTGTATTCATCTACCACCTCTGGCTGCCATGATCTTTTCGCCTACCTCTTCCATTAATGATTCCTGAGCCTTTAATGGAGAGGATGTGATATAGTTGATCCATTTAGGGCTAAGCATTCTTCAGCAAGAAGCTTCAGCCCTACTTGAGGACCTATTGGCAAGTGATAGAGGAAGATGTGGCATTACTACTCCAACATTACAATTACCAAAACAAACAGCCTAACTTTTTTTTTTTTTGGTCTTTTTGAGACAGGGTCTCCCTGTAGCCCCAGCTGTCCTGGAACTCACTATGCAGACCAGGCTGGCTTTGAACTCACAGAGATCTGCCTGCCTCTGCCCCCCAAATGCTGGGATTAAAGGCGTGTGACACCACACCCAGCCAAACAGCCTAACTTTTAAATGTAGTTTTTAGGAGTGGGCCCAAACTTGGGTATGCATTCCCCTAGATAGCTCTTGGAACCATCCGACTCCTGGAACTGTGCTGATGGAACTGTCTTGTGGAACTGCATCCTTGAGCCTGACCTCACCCACGATTTTATTCAGATTATGTCCATTTATATATAAAAAAAATCATTCCCCCAGGGAGAGTTAGTTTTCCTTTCTGGTATGTCACCTGGTAGGCTGACCAGACTCCAAGAGATGGACCTACAGCCAAGAGCATTTTGGAAA